AGGTCCAGGAAAGACAGGAGAGGCTGCTTACAGTGAAAGTGTATGATACACAGAGGATATGAGTATCACCAAGGTTTCCCCCAATTTTTTTCACTTGAGTATAGAAAATATAGCTATCTTCATCTGTTTCATATTGCTATAGCAAAATACTACAAACTGGGTAGTTTATAAAGAAAAGCACTTACTTCCTTACTTCACCCCAAGATCAAGGGGCTACATCGAGTGAGGACCTTCTTGTTGTGTCATTCCATGGCAGAAGGCATGCCATGGGCAAGAAGGACAAGAACCAGAGTATACAGCCTGAGGCCTTTCTCAGCGCTAACAGGTCCTGAGAGTAGAGCCCTCCTGGCTCAGCCCACCTGGAGGCCCCACCTCCCCACACAGCCGCAAAGATACAACTCTGCAAGGCAGGCTTTTGAGGGACACATTCAATACCATGCCAGTAGCCATATGGGACATTCATTGACAATACCAAAATGGGGTTTTGTGTAGCTTAGGGTCACTGTGCCTGTGAATGCCAGCACACAGGACATGATTTCCTGCTTCAGTTCAAGGAAAGACGATGCTGAGCCGTGAGTCTGTGGCCCAGCACAGAACTCCCTCCTCATGAGAACATGGTCTTCCTTTCTTACTGAAGTCTAAAATTGAACCTGATTCTAATTATGTTTTCAGTCTGTGTGGATTTGTGTGTGAAATAAGAGCCCTGCTATTTTAAAAATGACATGAGCAGGCTAACAATGATTTTATTTCCTTGAACTTGAAAGAACTGAGCCAACGTGTGGAGGGGAGGTGCCCACCTTGGAAATTTAATTTATATCCTGCAGAAAGTCAGCTGCTTTTGGAAAATCTCAGGTAACATCCAAAAGTTAGCAAATGGTTTAACCACAAACAGTCTCCATTGGAAATACAGGACCAGACAAAAGATTTTGCAGGGCAGTCCCATGTGTGGCTTTGTTCCTCTGTCACCCACAGACCTGCCTGCAGAGATGACACCTGCCTACCACTTCTGAAAAATGAAGGGGAGCCAGCTTTGGTAGTTGTGCCTGTAGGGTCAGTCACTCTCGAGGCAGGAGATGTAGACCAGCCTGGGTTATTTAACAAGACCCTGTCCCAAAAACAAAAATATTTGAGAAAGGAGCTCAGTGGGAGAATATTTGCATGGTGCCCTTGATTCAAATCCCTACTACAACAAATACACAAATAAGTAAGTGCTAAGTGGGGAACACAGACTACCATAAGCGTTAGCTTTCAAAGTTGTTTTTTTTCTTTCTTTCTTTCTTTTTTCTGGTAAGGACTTGGGATTATCCTTTTTTCCTGGAATATCTTACCATTACAAATACGGACTTTGAAAACTTTGATGGGCCAAGAGATTACAAAGATAAACTGTAGACTCAGTTCCCCAAGTGTCCAATTTGTACCTTTTTGCTGGCCAGAGAAAGAGGAATGAGAGGAGTATCTAGAAGAAAGGATGGAGGGAGGGACATATTTTCCAAAGGTCACCATAAAATCACACACACACAATGCTAATCATAGGTGTATTTATAAAGTACCCAAGAATTAAGCAGAGTAGCTACAAGCTTGAAAAAGTATTAAGAGGGGAATTTAAAGTCCACTTACCTTATTGAGACTGTAACTTAATGGTAGAGCATTTGTTTTTACAAGGCTCAAGATCCTGGGTTCCAGCCCCTCAAAAACAAAAACAGTTACTTATTTTAGCAATAAGCCACAGACATAAAGGCAAGTACTCCATGTTCTCTCTCATATGTAGAAGCTAAAAATATCAACCTGAAAGTAGACGAGTGGTAACCATAGCTTGGAAGGGAGAGGATGTGATAAGGGAGGTTGGATTTGATCCGTGTACATTTTACGCATGTATGGCATTATCACACTGAATTCCATTCATATGTGTAATTAATGTGTGTTAATAGAATTTTAATCCGTTCACCTTGCTCTTTTGTCATTGTACTGAAGCCATTTCAGTTTGGAATTCGCCCAGGGCTCAAGCTGGGGGAGTGCTCTCCGCGCGTCCTCCGCCTCTGCAGACAGCTGCGGCCCTGAGCAGGCAGCGGAGGAAATGCGCGCCTCACCCTTCTCTGTTTCGGCCATGGACAGTGTGGTTAATGAGGGCGGCGACACCCGGCCCCAGTGTCCCCCGCTGTCGGTGCGGCGTGGGGCTGGGACCAGGCGCCAGGCAGGCACGCTCGCAGTGAGGGCCACCGTGCCCTCGGGGCGCATCCTGCGTGGAGGACACGGACCCCCGGCACCTTGGCTCTGAATCCTGCTTTCCACGCGCGCGGGGCGCAGCCTTTCACCTCGGGGTCAGACGTTTCCTCCTCTTGATGAGCAGCTCTCATTGAGGACCAGCCTCCGGCAGGGGGCGCGCGCGACGGCACCAGCACGTGCGTAGCCAGGAGAGGGGAGTGGGGGGGCTGGGCTCGGTGGTTCCACCCCCTGCACCAGTCAGTTCTCTGTAAAAGGCTCCACCTGATTTTACATCTCAGTTCTGCTTTCTCCCTAAGCAACCCTTTCCACACGCTGCCTTTATTTTTACCTATTTATGTCTTTCCACCTTCAGTCTACATTCTACCCGCACTATGCGGCTGATGTCTTGTGTAATCACATCAGACGCAGCTTCCCTTTTGTTACATTTCTGTCCTGGTGGTCCCTGGAGTAGCGCTCCTCCCTCCTCCCTGACCTCCTCCACGTGGCCAGGACTCCTCCGGGTTCCCTTCCACCAGGGTAGTTACTCCTTCTCCATCCTTCCGCAAGATTCTCCACCCCTTCCTGAGCCCTGAGTGCTGTGCGGTGCTAACCCACCTCCTCATCTCTCCTAGGAATCCAATCACTGCCTTTATTCTTTGGGCTCCACAGATTAACGCAAACCAAGATTTTCTTCCAAGCTTCAGCTGGTATCAGACATTTCAAAGGCAGTATGTCTTCAAGGAAATTCTCTGAAACGTGCATTTGACACCCAGTCTTTCCTGTTCGGTCCACAAGGCCTCCTTCCCCTGTCACTCCGACAGAAATCAGCACTGTACCAAGTCCCCTTCTCCCATCCAATTCAAAGCAAACCTAGCCCATTGATTTCCAGAATGTGCCACCTGTCTTTCTGGGTTGACCAGTCAACCTCTTTGTCTTTTTGAATGGCCATTCAGTGGTTTTGTAAATTCCTCACCCTGGCCTTTTAGACACTGCATATCTTACAAGCCCTCCCCTCTCTCCTTCCAACTCATGACTTACTCTTTCTCCAGCTCACTCAAGGAACACTTCATCAGTTCCTAGAATATGCCAAATTATTTTTTAAATTAATGACCTTTCACACACACTGCTTTCTCTGACTGGAATCCTCTTATCTAAACTATTCATTGAAGAAGTCTTCTCACACTTTAGGTCCTAACAATATATCACACCATAAGAAATTAGTTCCCTTTTCTGCTCTGTCATGAGAATCCCATTTGTTTGCCCAGGAGTGAGTCCCAGCAGGGTTGGACTTAGATTACTTTAGTTAATCTTGGCTCCAGCACCTGGCACAACACCTCAGCTATATAGTAGGCACATGATAAATATTCAAAGAGCAAAGGAAAATTATTAGCACACTTCATGGTGATATAGGAAAAATATAACTTTGGACCTGCTAGATGTCAGATGTGCCAAATCTGTGGTCTCACACATTGAGGAATCAAATCATGAGCCAGTGGAGGAAGTTAGGTGAGTTTTGATTGGAAAAAAGAATAGCTCCTGGATTTCCAGGAGAGGCCCTGAATGGGTGGCCACCAAGGCCCTTTGTCAGGGGTAATTTATACAGCAAAGTCACATTACAATGGATACCACAGAAATACAAAGGATCATTAAGAACTATTATCAACTATGTGCCAACAAATTAGAAAATTTAGCAGAAAAGGGGGTTTCTGAACACATGCAACCAACCACAATTAAACCATGAGGAAGTAGAACATCTGAACAGACAAATAACAAGTTTCCCAAGAAAGAGAAGCCCAGAACAATACAACTTCACTACCAATTTTACCAAGCCTTGAAGAAGAACTGAGGCTAATTCTCAAACTATTTTAAAGAACTGAAAGGGAGGAAACCTTTCCACATTCATTCCATGAGGCCAGTTTATCTTGATATCAAAATCAGACAAGGACACACACACACACACACACACACACACACACACACACACTACAGACCAGTAACCCTGATGAGCATAGATGCAAAATTTTTTAAAAATGCTAACAAATCAATTTCAACAGCATATCAAAAAGATAATACGTCATGATTGAGTGGTATTTATACCAAGGATGCAAGGAGAGTTCAGCAAACAAAAATCAATGACTGTAATTGTGGAGCCAGAGTGACTCCATTTTGGAGCTGTCTCCTTTGTTCTCTCAGAGTGACTCCATTTTGGAGCTGTCTCCTTTGTTCTCTCAAACTTGTGCTTATCCACTCAAAATTCCTAA